GATGTGGTTCCTAATGCTCAGCTAATTGCTGTTTTACAAGTGTAGACAAGGGCTCCTTATAACAATATAGGTTTAAATCTAGTTTCCTAAAGCTAATGAATTAATTTGGGCGAGAGACTGCATCTTTTACCGATAGCTCCCCTTCAGCAGTACAAGGCAACCGACTCGTTTCCTACTCTTTCTTCAATTTTAGGCTTCTACGACAGCTGCCGTTGATCGCCCACCTAATTACCTGGTTCAGGTAACCTTGAGCCAGACCAAAAGGGGTGTATGGAAATCGTCCCTTAACCAAAAGTTCCACATCATCTACATGGACAATCACCCGACAGCCCACTTTTTCCAGTTCCTCTAGAAGGTCGTTTACAACTGCAATCTAAAGCAGGGGAGAGAGAACACCAACTTGTGGAATGCTCCTATTGACCCCGCACTGAGTGCAAACGCTCTCCCACTCCATTCTGTCGCGAAGTAAGCTGTAGATAAGCCTTATTAGGTTGGTTTCAACCCTCTGATTATGAATATACATAAATATACATGAATATATGTAAAGTGACATTGTTGAAGGCCCCTATCAGTCTCTCTAGCGCTTTTAGCAAAAGCGTTTTTAGCAAAACCGAAGAGACTGATAGACCTAAAATCCCTAGGGGGAAACATGAGAGCCTTTTCTAGCCTTCGGGATGAACGCAACACTGACTACCCTCCAAGCCTTGGGGATGTACCCGGTGCTCACGCAGTTCGCATAAATAGGACCCAAGCAATTGCACGACACCTTCAGAGCCCTTTGCAGCTGCGCAGGTATGATGCCATCGGTCCAAGCGACTTTATTGGTTAGAACAAATTTATCGCACATGCCATGTGACGATCGGAGTCCATGTCCAAAAACCCCGGAGGAACACTGAAAGAATTCTGTGTTTTAAATTAGCATATTTTGAACGAATTCGGAATGTCTAAGGTGGAAAAGAAACCAACCTTTCTATAAGGAAACAATTATAGAAAAATAATTTTCTTACACTGTATTCATGTCTCCGCCAGCAATTTGTGACGACGTCATTTAAAAGCAGCTAAGGAGAATGACGACACTATTTATTAGATGGCACATTCAACGAGCCAATGTGCCAAAATGCGGGTATAACCAATTATTGATTATTTAATATCGGAACCGAGATCATATAAGTTAATTTATTGGTTTTCACACACTTTCGAAACACAAATTATATGCTTTTTTACTGCAGACAAGTTATTGCCCCAATACAGAGCAGAAATCTTCCAATCAGGGCTGCCAACTATCCTTAGTTATGAGGTGCCATATTGAGGATAAAAAAGTGCCAAAATGTGCCAAATAAAAAAATAAAAGTGCCAAAAAAGGTGTCATTCCTTTTAATCATTCACATTTAGCAATAAAATAAAGCTACATTTTCCAAACAAAAGTTCAATGATAACATAAGATAAACCAGTTGAATAACCTTTATATATTAGAAAATTTTAGTTGAGAAAAAGAAGTGCACGCAAAGGTTTTCACAAAAATGTATTGAAATGTAATTTTTTTTACAAAAGTGCTATTTTGGCACTTTGTGCCAAATTGAAAAATTAACTGCCATTTGAAGTAAACTAGGGACAAATGGCACGGTTTGATCCAAGTTGGCATCCCTGCTTCTAATAACTTACAAATATAAAAATGTGAAATATCGAGGGCTTGAATTCATTAATACCCTCTATCTGCAATTTGCACAAAAACTAATTTGTGATTTTAGAAACCATCTGGGACTTATTACCTGTCGTTATATAAGGTAGCAATAATATCACTGATGACAGTTAAAGCTTAGGTGGATTTTCGTATCAGAATCTCATCTTTGTGAAAAGTGTGCAGATAAAATATATACAAATTTTATTTCAACGTATACAAAAAATAAATCTACCTGCGATACAGCACGGCGGAAGACGGGATAGGGGGGCCGCAGCGTAGCGTGACGTGGTATGCGCGCCGGTCGCGAGGGGTACGCGGGGCGCGAGCGCGGCGCGGGCGGTGTGGCGCGCTAACGCGGGCTGCCGCGAAGCTAAGCAAATTTAATGTTTGAAAGGGAAATAATGTCAATGGATTTTATTTCGTTTTTAAAAAAGTAACAACCCACCCTGGTGCGAAATAAAGTCAATTGACCTTATTTCCGTTGATCTTATTACCTGTCACCCTTCTGTTCTCTTTCATTGCAAGTTGAATTATTTTATTATCTATTGCAAAATTTTGTACATAAAGTAAAATAAAACTTTTTAATATACAACGCTTTTATAAATGGACTAAAAATTAGAAAATAATATTTCTTAGTCCCATAGAATTTGTGTAGATAACTTTTGATTTTAAAATTTTAGCAGAAGTCATTATAAACCATTTATGAGATTGAAAATGAAAAGCGTGGGGCGCATGTAATAGACCTGAATTAATATGAATGGTAATATATGTATGTATGAATGTGGATATATGAATAACGACCGCTTAAAATCGATCTCAAATTTGTACTTTCTCTGTAGAAATTTTAGGTCTATGTTATGTAGTTTGACTATTGTCAATTAAATCTAATGCTTTGTATTGCATGCGCTTCACGTTTTTCGTTTTCAATCTCATAAATGGTTTATAATGTCTTTTGCAAAAATTTCCAAATCAACAACGACCCCTTAGCTTAGATGAAAACGCTTCAGTTTAAGATAGACTTTACATATAAAGAACTTTTCAATTTAAAGCAACAAAATAAAATCTTTATAAGAGCTGTTTTCATTATAAAGGTTTGCTCAAGCAGCAGCGGTATGGTACCGCGCGGTGTACCTCCATATGGCATGTTTGCTCATGTATGGATATACATATATACATTTGTATGTAGTTACCTTACATACATACCCAGTAGAAATTCTATGCATACAACATCGCTGTTGCTGGCGTGAGCTTGCTGCTGTGTATACATGTGTGTGTATAAATTTGAAAATAACTTGCAAGAATCCCCACATACATAACAAACATACAACCTAATTGTATACTATACACTTAGCTTTAAATTTTAACGTTTTCGCAGCTCCCTATGTTTATCTTCATCTAAAGCAGGGATCACAAGATTTGTGCATTTTAACAGTTACAGAGTGGTGTTGTTTGAAAGTTGTTATTGAGCTAAACTCATTCACCCCTATTACGGTTGTCAATATCATGTCAATATTGTCAAAAATAGTGTCGATGCCTCCGAATTGGTATTGCCGTCATCAAAGTCGATAACTGTTGACAGCTGTTGATACTATTTTGGTATTGACGACAACAATATTGATATTCTATTGACGGGTGTCAACATAAAACTTGTCAATACAGTTTTTGGTGACGACAAGCGCTCAATTAAATATTCTGCTGTAAAAATTTGGTAAAATAATTCTGAATTATACCTTTTTACACACTTTATTTGTTTAGTTCTTATTTAATTTAGGAAAATGGAAAGAAAAATGAAAATAACAAACAACAATCAATTTTCGCAGCTTGTTTTAGAACTAGAAAAAAATCCTGCGCTTGCTAAAGGCTTTTCCAAAGGGACAGTTCCCAATAATTTTAAGTCGCAATGGCAGGATATTGCAAGTGCAATCAATGCTCTCGGTCCACCACTCAGGGATGGTGAGGGTTGGCAAAAGGTAAAAAACAACTTATTTTTAAACTTATATGGTTTAACTTTTTGTGAATTTAAAGGTTTGGAGGGATCTGAAATGCAAGGTTAAAAGAAAGCTCGTGCACAACAAGCAGGAGTGCCGTGCCACAGGAGGAGGAAGCTACAAGCAATTGGTGCTGAGCCCATTGGAAGAGCAGGTTGCCAACCTTCTTCAATTCGGCAAGCAACTTAACCCGAAAGGAATGGCTCAAGGTGTTCCCAAAAGTGGAATTTGCATGAGTGTTGAAGAAGTGCTACAAGAAGTGCTACGAGAAGATTCTCCAGCTCCTTCGGTAGATCCTACAATGATGGAGTTCGATGATACCACTGGGCTCAACACCACCGCCGGTAGTGTTTCTGTAGAAGATAGTCGAGCTCCAGTTAATGAAAATGCTGCGGAGAACCAAAATTTAAATGCTGGGCAGAATGCAGATTCACCTCCTCATACTAGCAGGAGAAGTCGTGTTCGCGCAAATAGACAGCGGCAGAATTTGTTGCAAAACCACACTGAAATGCAAGAGGGTGTGCTGACACGAATGTCGACAACCCTTGCGGAAATTGGGAACAATATAAATTCAATGGAGAACATTCAGTATGACTCATTTGATAAGCTCTTAGAAATAGAGCGAAAAAAACTAAAGCTAATGCAAAGGCAGGATGAAAGAGAAGAGAATCTGTACCAAACAGAAATGAGACTAAAAAAGATTAAACTAGAAATAAAAGAGGCTGAACTAGAAATATTAACAATTAAGAAAAATAAGAAAGCTGACTAACAGATATATATACAGGGTGTCCCATAAGTAACGTGCCAAACTTTAGGGGAAGGTAGGTGGGGGGGTGAGCTCCCTGATAAACAAAAAATTTTCAGGTAAAAGTGTCACCGTTTTTGAAATATTTACATTTTTTCGAATTTAAAAAAAATCGGGCCTTTTCATGTGTTTTCTTTAACTGCAACTACAAACCGGGCAATACTTAGTAAATTTTTTATGTAAAATACTTCCAGATAGTTGCCTCTCCATACTCAAATGCAATGTAGTTAAAATATATTAAGGAACCATCATAAAATTAGGACTATTTCTGGATTTTTAACTTTTTGATATTCTCTTCCCCAACTTTGACTATCTCGGGTGAAAAAAAAATGTACTGAGCTATAACTTTACATTACATAAAAAAATTGATCATTTCATAAAGATTTCAGAAATGTGCCACACTTACTGTTTCGAATAGAAAAAAAA